ACAAATACTTCAAATACTACAAAAAAAATCAAATGATTTTTGAATGAACGCATAACATGACTTAATAGAACTGTGTCCAGGCTATAGACATTTTAATATTTACATATTCTCATTAGTAAATACAAGCACTTATTAACCTCTGTAGCTGAAGACATTATGGAGTAGTTTATCCTCAAAATTCACGAAAGAAACACAATAGTCATTAAAGCTGGGTTGCCACTTTGCCAGGCAGCCACGTTTCTATTATTAGTGGGGAGCAAAGTCAAGTAAGCACAAATGAGTGAGAAAGTGTTATCGTGTAAAGGTTGAGGAAGAATTGCTCCACAATGCCTGCAGCTACAAAACTCAGAGAGGACTTGTTTTAAAGATTATTGATTGCTTGTTCAGAATATATAAGTATTTGAATACTCATAGCCTGCTCATAGTTCTACTCCAAAAAAAACCTTGCTAGGTAAAAACAATAAAACGTAGCCACCATTTAAAATAACAGGTTTAATACTTATCATTCGGACAGGTACTATAGTGAATGAGATCTTTGCAGTCTTGAACAGCTATGGATGTTGATGCTATCTGACACTTCCGTGCAGTAAGCACTATGCTATCCATCACACCTGGAAGTGTTGGATAGCAGTGGCGTTCAGAGCTCTTCAAGTTTTAACTCACCACCAATAGGAGAAGTATTGTATGTCTTTTTTTACAATGTGGCTTTTGTTTATTTATTTTTTTTACTAAGGTGATAGGTTCATTTTGAAGTTGCTTTTTTTAATTATCCTAGACAAAAGTCAATGAGATATATGTGTTAAATTATAAGAAGTCATTCATTAATCAGCATATATTAAAGACTGCAATACAGTTTAAAGGTTTCTCTCCTTACCTTCAACCTAAAGTTGATCTTCAGACAAACATCTGAAAATGAGAGCTGTTTTTGCAGCCAAGAGAGATGGTTTTCTGTCCATTCAGTCCTGCGATTTACACAGCCTTGCCATACAGCAAAGCCCTGAGGAGTTCTAGTTTTTCTATGCTGTGGTTCAATAGCACTTACAGGTCTTCTCCCCACACCCTCAGTCTGTGAGTGGTCAGTTAAATAAGAAGCAGAAGACTGACCAGGTCATGTACAGTTGCAAGAAATAGTATGTGAACCCCTTAGGATTACGTGGAGTTTTGCATGAATTGGGCATAAAATGTGCTCTGAACGTCATCTAAGTCACAACAATAGAAGAACACAGTCGAACATAATACTACACAAACATTAGATGTTGCCATGGTTTAATTGCACATAACATGTAAACATTCACAGTGCAGGGAGGAAAAAGTATGTGAGGCCCTAGCTTAATGACTTCTCCCAGAGCTAATTGGAGCCAGGAGTGAGCCAACCATGACTCCAATCAGTGTGATGATATTGGATGTGTTGCTGACAGCTGTCCTGCCCTTAAAAAACACACACCTGTTTTCGGTTTACTGGTTTCAAGAAGCACTGTCTGATGTGAACCATGCCTCGCAGAAAAGAGCTCTCAGAAGACCTACGATCAAGAATTGTTGACTTGCATGAAGCTGGAAAGGGTTACAAAAGTATCTCCAAAAGCTTTCATGTTCATGTGTCCACGGTAAGACAGACTGTCTACAAATGGAGAAAGTTTAGCACTGTTGCTACTCTACCTAGGCGTGGTCGTCCTGTAAAAATGACTGCAAGAGCACAGCGCAGAATGCTGCATGAGGTAAAGAAGAATCCCAGAGTGTATGTGAAGGGGTTCACATACTTTTTCTTGCAACTGTATCTATCATTCTGTTAGATATTCCATGCACTGCAGCACACTTGATTTCTCTTCATTCTGCTTCTCTCTCCCCTAGTCTGGGATCTGCTGTACAGGGACTGAAAGAGGCTATCAAGTCAAATTCAGGTACTTACATTGCTTGCATTAAAATGAAAATGTTATTTTGTTATTATGTTCAAAATGTGTAATAAAAATACAAATAAAATAGAAAATATTCTTTAAAGCATGTTCATATGCCTTTGGCAACCAAAATTGTTTTAGCCATACATATTGTAATTTAGTGTTTGTTCACACTTTATTCATTAACCTGCGTTGTTCTGAACCCCATGGTGTTCATGCATAGTGCCCTGATCACACTCTATGTGCAGTGGTACGTAGAAAAATACAGCTCAACAACCAAAGTATGAACCAGCCCTTAACTATAAGGGGTAAGTGGCAGGTGGTGGGTATGTGGCATGTTATCTATTATGTACCATGTACCATGTGCTGGACTTTTCTAATACTGCTATGTACCTTTTATGTTTCAGTACATCTTACCCTTACTCAGGGTGGGACTGACAACTCATGGGGACCCCGGGCAATAGGGGATCATGGGGCCCCTGTGTCCTTGCCCAAACTCAAAAAAGCCTATGAAAAAGGTACCAGGGGCATCTCGTGGGGCCCCCTACTGACCCCGGCCCTCAGGCAGTGCCTGAGTTTCCAAATAGTCAGTCCGCCCCTGCCCTTACTGCTTCTTTACCTTCTGTTTTGAAAATCTGAAAATCTTTAGTAAAAACAGATTATACAAAAAAAAAAGTATAATGGGTAAGGCTAAGATCATTTTTGCTGTAGACAGTCCCATCCACTCAGATCCAAGCCTTCCATCCTGATACACCAACAGATGGGTGCCGACCCTGAACAGTCAGTGACCCGCAGACAAATATAGCACCAAACACAAAAGCAGAGTTGCTCACCTTCTAAAAGCACTCCTCTTTTGGGTGAATGGCTCTACTTTTGCACTTGATGCTATAATATAATTTTGGTTCCAAATGCATATGAGCATATTTTTTTATCAATTTTTCTATATTATTGGTAATTTTTATGTCAGTTTTAAGAATACAATTCCAGGTTAAACAAGGTGTGACAATTTAATTCCCAAAATGTACTGAAAAAAAAATATCCATCACCTCTGCATTCTTCAAAAGATCAGATGAAATTTAAAGATGACGTTCCTTCTGATCTTCTGTCAAGATTCGAGGCATCACTTTTGCGAAAATCTCTCATTCCCAAATCCTCCGGTAGAATCTGCTGCACTGTTTCTCTGTTCATGTTAAATTCTTCTGCCATCATTCATACACTTAATCTTCGATTTGAGCATATCAGGGTTCACACTCTGTCCACATTTGTATCCGTCCTTTGCGTTTTTGGCTGTCCACTTTTCGTGTCATCGTGGACATCTTCCCGCCTCCTCCTTAAACTGCCTACGCCATTTAAAAACACTTGATTTTCTCATGGAATGTTCACCAAAAGCCTAAAGTTTCACTCCCATGTTTGCCAATTTTCAAGCAAAAGTTGATATGAATCCACTGCTCCAGATTCCTGTCACTCATTTTCCACCAACAGTGGAAAGCACACGTGCGTTATTTCTTCTACTATTCTGTAAAGACTGAGTCAACTGGTCTGCAACCCATGTGCGAATGGCTGTATGACTGACCACCATGGTGCTATGGCGCAGGCATTCCAGGAATTAAATTGTCACATATCGCATAGCTTTATATCCCTACTGTCATGTTCAGATGTTTTCTCTCTCTGCTCCTACTACTAACCGAATGCTGGAAAATTCCTGTTGAAGTCAACACATAATTCCAACAAGGCATGTGGTTGAAACAGTAGGCATTATCACCCAAATAATTGCTCAAATCTGTTGCATTGACTTTGACAACCAGGCCATATAAGGTGATGTCAAGCAATTAAGTAAAGTACACTGGAAGGCGTAATTACAGAGATTTTCTGACATACAGCAATCGATAATGATTTCTCATTTGCCGCAAAGAAGAAGGGAACTCTTTCGCTGTGCTTGACACACTTCCTTCAAATTGGAAAGTAAAAAAAAGCAGTGAGTGCCAGAGACAGGCAACTAATAGGCTGACAGGCAAGTCTCATACCGCCCATCATTCTCTGTTACAGAGCTGTCTGTCTATGGCTACCATAAATTTAGGAGATTAACTGGATAGGACAGTATGAGAGCATGACAGTAAGACTGCTTGAAATATAATATTCCCTAATCAGCTACCACCAAGGTTGCATTTTTAATTTTGGCTGGAAGTTTAAAGGTGATTTTATTTTATTGCATTGTCTCAGATTGCTGACATTATTATACTTTGCAATAATGAAAAAAGTGTATAATTATTTTGATAAAGCATTATTATTTAAAGTGGCATTAAACTCAAAACCAAAAATGAAATATATTGCAGCTTACCAATCATTAGATGTGGCTGCTGCATTAGATTTCTTTTGTAGGCTTTTACACCTATTTTTCTCCTGGTGATCTGGCCAGTAACACACCTCCTGTATTAGTGAGACACAAGTCTGGAGGAACGAGTACAAGAGGCACAGGAGACAGCAGCATTTTCAGTCTGGGGGGGGGGGGAGATAGTGTTAAATGTACTTGATTTAAATATAATAATCATTTAAAGCCAAACGTTAGCTCATACTTTATAAACATCTATTTTCTTTTGGGATAAAAGTTTTACTTCAATAACTAAATAAATAAATAAAACCTGATTATTGTAAGCTCACTTGTCAGTGGTAAATGGTTAGACTCTTCCCTGTAAACTGCTACATTTGCAAGAGAGTTTGTTCTTTTAAAAAGCAAGACTTAGTGGCCAGATCAGTAGATGAAAACTAATACAACCATCACATCTAAGATTTGGTAAGCTGCAATATAAAACATGTTTGCCTTCGGTGTAACCTGAATCTGAATATTCATAATCTTTGATTTGTACAGATTTCCGTTAAAAAATAAACACAAAGTCAAAGACTGCAAACAATATTTTTGTTTCTGAAAACTGTATTTTAATATAACAGCTTCTATAAAAAAGACTTAAGTTAAAAAATGTTATTTATATATATATATATTTATATTTAAATACTTTAAAAGTGCTTTGGGTTCGTTGCACCAACATTCAAAAATACTGTCCACACATTGAGGAATGTTTTTTGTCTTTTTAGAAGAGCCCTTCTCCCTCCTCATACTGAAGTCACTCTCATTACAACCTCACCAGAATTACTGTCCTCTATGGACTCTTCTGGAGGAGTTCTCATCCGACTGAACAAATGTAGCAATACATATCCACACTGCAATCGGGGAGAGCTTAACTGTGTTGGGTGAACCAATGTCCGGGAGCGGAAAGCAGTCAATGGCAACCATAATGTCCTACTGCTTGAAGGCACTGCACGACTGCTTTCTTCTATGTCTGTTGCTTTGTCATAGTTTAGTACATCCCAGTGCAAGTTCACAGCCCTCCACCGCCTAAAAACTTTATACACAGCAGCTCCTTCATGGATAATTAGACCTGAAATCATGGAAAATGTATGTTACAATGATTAAAGAACAAGACTTTATTTTATAAATATAAAAGCAAACACCAATGGATTGAAATTTAAAACAATACATAGAAAATGATGCATAAATAACAAAAGACTCCATTCACTAAAGTAAATCTGTAGACTTTAAGTGAATGATATCTAGTTTGCTAAATCACTGTTGAGTTTATTTTCTAAGGGCAAATAGTTTATTCACTTTTCCAGGGAAGTTGCACTTTGGAAGAGTTTTTTCTCAGAGCTTAGTGAATGTTTAACTCTGCAAAAGAATATCCAATTGCATGGAAAATAAAAAACAGAATTTTTGCTTGCACATATTTGAATGATGGAAGTCAGCAGAATGTTCCTTCCCTTGCAAAGTCTAACATTGCTTACAAAGTGAAAAATTAAATTGCCTTAATAAATGTGCATCATAAACAATCATAATTTTTTTCCTAAAAATACTGCTTTTCTTTTTTTTTTCTTTTGTCTACTGATCTCCTCTAGCTTCTTTTACTCTCTCCTTTTCTATATGCACTTACATCTGAAATGCCTGAACAAGGACCTGTAGAGTAGGATCACCATGTGTTATGTTATTGAAAGCTGCTGATTCAAAAAGATTGAAAACAACTTTTGAAATTGACATTAACAAGTTAAGTCATTTATGTGAGTTTAATGCTGAATTTAGATATGCGTACACTAAGTTATATCACATGTGCTTTTTGCTATAATAATCATTATTTGCACCCATGTGACTTATTTTCAGCTTTCATTACTAAAATGAATGGTTGTAACTGCAAATAAAACCAATTATAGCTTAGTGTATTTAGTCTAAAATGGTAAGAAAGGTGAGTGGGTAATGAAGAATTACCTGTCTAACCAAAGACTGTAAATGTGTAGGGAAATAACTTCAAAAAATTACAAACTGACCAGAAAATGATATATAGATAACAAAGCAGTAGCAGTAAGTAGAGGCGACTGTTCCCTAGACACCTAGATAAATTAAGTTAAAGTCATGTAAAAACAATAACACTAATCCTTTTATTAAATCAGCTTTTTTTTTAACCAGGGCACCCAGGCACCCTGTAGTGCTTTCTGGGTTCTTCAGGGGGTGCCTTGGCAAAATTCCTACAATTGCCCCAAAATTGTCATCAAGCCAGCTGGTGGATTAAGCTTGCCTTCTGTTACGTAAAACCACAGGTTTTTATAGCACAACATTACAACCTTGGGCACTGTGCGTGCCAGCTGACAATGCCCTAACACCCGTTGATGTCAATGGCTGATACGTGAACTTTGGTATCTGCACAGCATCCTTGCTTGACCCCATTCCCAGCTTTCCCCAGGGCCACAATAGGTACTTGGGGGAGAGAAAATGAGGGAGAAGGGATGCTGAACTACTAGTCAGTAAAAGTGTATTTCAGAAGAGAAAGAAGGCGCTTCTAAGTGCAGTACATCCACATGCTTATTGGTAAAAATGGTTAAAACCAATTGCAAAAGATGATAAGGCTCAGACATATAGAACGTCAATGCAGGGCTCCTGTCACTGTTTCCTGGAGCTCACTGTGCTTGTGCAATAGCTCCTTCATCAAGACTTTCATTGCACATGCTCCAAAACACATCACCGCCCACCACTGATGTCACTTCCAGGACGTGAGGTCCACGCGGACGGCGTGTTTTCCACGGCGGCCCAGGAAAAGCGGCAGCCATCTTGGAGTTGCACCTGAGCTCCCCCTGCTGCTGCTGGATGGCACAGTGAGCTCCAGGAAACAGTGACAAGAGCCCTGCATTGACGTTCTATATGCCTGAACCTTATCATCCTTTGTAAGTGTATGTACTGCACTTAGAAGCGCCTTCTTTCTCTTCTGATCTTCCCAGAGTCTGCTTCTACTCCTGGAAGTGCTGCTCTAGTGCCTATTCCCACTGTCTCCCTCCACTGGTCTCCAAGGCAGATGCGCCCTACAAACTCCTCTTCTCTTCTAGTAAAAGTGTATTTGCTTTGTAAGAATAAATCACCTCCAATGTTGGGTGCCCTACGTGTGTGGAACCTGAACTGTGTAAAACTATTAGTTTGATTTACCTTACAATTTACAATGGGGTTCATTCACATTTTCTAGCAGAATATAATTTGTTTATTTTGCTGTTTGCTACAACGGTCATTATGCTCAGCAATGAGATGCCACAAGAAAACATCAAACACGTGGTTGAAGATAATGATTATTATGGCAAGCAACACATCTGTTATAGCTTAATGAATTGAAGATTTCTTAGTACAAGCATTCCACAAAGTGAAAGTTTTATGTAACCAACATAAAAGTCAAGCCAAAAGACAAAGTTTGCCTTTCTGTTTATTGCAACTTTTTGTCCTTTTCAGTGTTACAGAATGGCATATGAAAAACTTGTTAGCACAATTTATAAGTGTAGCAGAAGAAGTTGGAACTGTGCAGGCAGTCATTTTCAAACATTTCTATTGTAAAAATAATAGATGACATTGCACATTTACTTACATTGTGCTAAAAGGCACTCCTAATAGAAGCCCTTGAGCTGGATTTTGGCTGTCATTGGCATTCAGTGGTGCTAAGCTCCAGCCTTAGGCTGGATTTTTAGAATGAACGCTTGTACGAATAATATGTAGTATGAAAATGTGTACAAAAATTCTCAGGACATTTGATGCCTTGACATGTGTCTATACTAAAGTGCTTGCAAATTTCATCTGCTATTAACATTCAATTTTGAAACAAAAGGACTTTCCCAAATGAAAACCATATATGCTGTTAGAAATTAGTTTGTTCAAAAAAAAAATTTCCATCCTGCCCTTTCAAATTTTCTTGTCACTCTGGTTGAAAGGAAATGTTGATTTGACCCCTATAACATTTGGAAAATCGAACAAACTAAAAACTCAGCTAAATTCAACTAGTGTATGGCTACCTTTACTGGTTCAACAGCTCCTGGGCTTTTACCTAAACAATTGCTGTTATCTGCAGTCGTTTTAACCCTCGACCTTGCTGGTTCAACATTCAGCTGCCAGAACCATATCTGAAGATTTCTATAAAAATCTAACTTAGCGCTGTTAAAAAGAATTATACTTTTAAGAAAGATGGCCCTTGCTATTTCAAAAATACTGTTTTTTGTATTATTTGTCAGAAAAACCTTGGGACTTAGTAGTATAGATTTTCAAAGAGAGGAAAAGGAGCCACTCACCCATCTTTAGATGAATGTGGCCTCAGCCAACATCATTCCAGCCATGCCCCCCTGACCAAGCCCCAGTGAGCTGGGCAAAACATGTCATGGAGGTATGGCTGGAGCAGCGCTGAGTGCCGCCACATATATCTACATACTAATGCACTGGGTTAGTGAGCGGCACTTTTTCTTCTCTGTGATAATGCTCTTCCACCTCTGATTGATGCACTGACGCCAGCTCTGTTCACTGCAACCGACGGGGAGAACTGTCTCAGAGCGGCACTGCAAGTTTCATTTTGATCTCTATTTAGTGGTATAGATTATTTAACATTATTTATTTGTATTAGCTCCCAACATATTCAGCTAAATATACTTTTGCCTAGCTGCCTACTTGGTTAAAACCCAAAAACGGAGGGGGTACAAATTGGCAAGAACACTCTCTTGCTCAACTGTCAGTAAAAGCTAAAGTACAGTGAATGCCGCTGCTACTTGGGTAGAAAGGTTATCTTGTACTACTCTTGAGGCCACCGACAGAAAATCAGTTATCTAGCTCTAAAGCTTTCTACCTACTATACTTTTGTAGTGAACCTGTACTCTATTTTAAACATTTAACAGTAAAAGCTTTGCCTAAAAGTAGACACGAGGGCTGAACAAAAAATGAAAACAGATTCCTCCATCCACACAAGAGAAGTGAATGGAGGAATCCTCCAGTTGTGCCTTTGTAATCCGATAGCGAGCACTTCTAGCTATAGTCAGAGGCACTGATCGAGCTGACATTTTTAAACAGGGCAGTTGTACAGACTGGTGGATCGACTTCTGTACAACCAGCCTGCCCATACATGGATTGAAATCTGGCCAGTCCCTGCTGAACTGGCTTAATTTCAATCCAATTATGGACTACTTTAGTCTAAACGTCTGGGAAACGCAAGGGAATTCCTGCTGTTCCTTCATCACAACTCTACTCACAACATGAATGAAAGGGACAATGTCATACTCAAAAGAAGGACCACTGCTCTAGGCCTGAATATGTGGCTGTAGTATACTATTTCAGTACTTATGCAGTATCCAGTTAAGAAAGGTCACTTAACAAAATGTGTTAACCATTGAAAGACATCTAATGAGTCAGTGTTCAGAAATTTTGACAAAAGGAGTTGTACCACAATCCTGGGTTTGGAAACATTGGAAACAGTGCTTTCCCACAAACACACAGTCCAAGGAACTGGAAAATAGCATGGCAAAGTTGAATATGCAATGGTGACATATTAAGTTTGCATCAGACCATGAAAGTTATTATCAAAGATTGGGTACACCAAAAGTAGTACCTCTGCTACAAACAATTAGAGTGCTTCTTTGGATAATGGAATCAAAACACTCAGATCTAGAAGGCACCACAATAAAATCAAAACACTCAGATCTAGAAGGCACCACAATAAAATCAAAACACTCAGATCTAGAAGGCACCACAATATGGAGACAAGTGCCTGAAGGTCACATTCCAGTTTATATATGCCCAGTCCATAGGCTTACTTACAGAGTGACTCTGGAGAGACTGGTTTCCACCAGAGGCTGTGACACGACTCTGGACCTGTATGGTGCTCTGAATTTAACAATCAGTACACTAGGTGCCACAAACAGAGCCCAGTGCCCAAGGGTCACAGTACAGGCAGGTCTCACGATCTTCAGCTCAGAGGAGTCTGGGTACGGTCTTCGAGGTAGTTCTGAGGTTTAATGGATCTGGATAGCTACTGCTTAGAGACCAGCTCAAGCAGCTTAATTAAAGTTTTTACGTTTTATTTAAATGCAATGCTCTCAACTG